AGAAGAACTCTTCATTCAAAAACTCACATGGTATCACAACTTTTATGATATTAAGGGCCTGAGAAAATATTTTTCATGGCAACAAGTATTTCTTTGCCCGCACCTCCTATTTTCACTCGAGATAGTTATGATTTTTGGGCAGTAAAAATGAAAGCTTTCTTGATGGCTTATGATATATGGGAAACAGTAGAAAAGGGTTTTGAACTTGCAAATTACAAAATCAAATTATAGCACAAATCAAACAACAAAAAGAAGACTTCACCAAAAACTATAAAGCTCTTTTTTTCATCCATTCTACTGTATTAGAAAACTTTTTTCCAAGAATTGCTGCCGCTGCAACCACAACAAAAAAGGCGTGGAATTTGTTACAGGAGGAGTTTCAAGGCACAGAAAGAGTTAAAACAGTGAAGCTACAAATTTTGAGGAGAGAATTTGATATGTTGAAGATGACTGAAGCATATTCTATTAAGGAGTACTCTTTAAAACTCATAGAAGTTGTGAATCCGATGAAACTTCATGGAGAAATAATTTCTGGTCAAAGAATTATTGAAAAGATCTTGATTAGCTTGCCTGAATAGTTTGAATAAAAAATTTCAACAATTGAAGAATCAAAGGATCTCATCAAGTTGACAGTGACACAGGTTATTGGATCTCTACAAGTATATGAACAAAGAACTAGTAAAAGAAGTGATGAGTCTCTTGAAGAAGCTTTCCAAGTGAGGCACAAAGCAAATATATTTCCTGCAAGAAATCAACCTGTAAGGAACCAACCTGCTGGAAAAGATGACAAAGGTAAAGGTGTTGAGGCGACCACAAATGAAGTTGACAGAAGAGAAAAATATCCACCTTGCAAAATTTGCAATGGAACAAATCACTTAGAAAAGAATTGTTGGCACAATGGCAAGAAGCAATGCAAGTTCTGTAAAAATTTTGGACATATTGAAAAGTACTGCAAGATAAAACAAAATCAAGAAACTCTATATGACATCACAACAATCACAGCCATAAATGAACAAAAGACTGCTATATTGATAGTGGGTGTACCAATCATATGACTTTTGATGCCAATCTATTCGCTACTTTGGGCACTTCAGTCAAAACCAAAGTGAAGATGGGGAATGCACAATATGTCAATGCTGAAGGTAAAGGGACTATTACCGACGGTGAATACAAATTCGTCGCTATGAAGTAGCGGCGGGGCTATTATCGACGGTTTTGCCGACGGGTGAATTCTGTTTCTGAAAGTTATCACCAATGGAATTGGGGGCTTCAACGACAGATATTTCCGTCTCTGAAGCCACAGTTTCTTGTAGTGCATATTCAACTTCACAATCTTGCTCATTCTCCGTGATGTTCTCAATTATATGCTCATACATCAACATCTTGAAATATGAAATATATTAATTTATCGATGTTTAATTTTCACTAAATTAATTGATTTTTCTCGATCCCAAGACTATTAATTTACAAATTCTAGACTTTTAAATGTTCACAGAGATCGACATCGTTTACTATGAGATAAAGAATTTAAAAGATGTATTTATGAAAAAAGTCAAATATTTTTGATGGGTGTAGAAGATGCTATGCTCGAATACAAGCTTATGGGCCCGACCTTGGCCCGTTGTTATTGGGTTGATAGCAAGGTCGGGTCTCGGGTTGAGGTCGGGTCTGGTAGACTAGGTTGGGTCTTAGCCCTAACTCACCCGTCTCTTGACCTCATCGCACGATTCCTAGGAACGCTAATCCTTTCCGAATACAAACCCCCCAACTTATTACAAATTCGATTATAATCCAAACACCTTCTATAACAAGGATAAGTACCATAATTAGTTTAGGACTCAACCCCCAATCTCTATAAATACAAGACCTAGCCTCATCATTCACGTACGTTTTTATATAATTCTTCAACACATATCTTTTCATAAATTCTCTCTTTGACGTAAGCATAGGAGGGCGACGAGGGCACAATGACGCCTTTGTTTCAGGTATTGAAGATCTGAGCGTGCGGAGTTTAATCATCCAGTTTGAGTCAATCCATGTACGAATTTTTGGTAGCATCAATTTCCATGCTACGTTTTGTATGGATAGATGGTCCTTGTAATTTCTTCTCATATATTATAAATGTATAAATGGAGTTACAGTTGGACTTGGAGATTATGCCTTCGGTAAATGAATTGGATACAAGATAATGTGTCGCGGATATACAAGAATTTTGATTAAAATTCCTTATTACTTTCTATCAAAATAATTTAATTATTTCCTACATTCATAAATAAAATTTATTATTTTAAAATGTACCTTTTATACTTATTTAAGTAAAAAATTTAAGCTCAGCGAAATAGAGTTTAGAGAATAGAAATAGATAAAGTTCTTTTTGAGTCACTTGAAATATATGGTGTATAAGGTCCAAAAAAAACATCATTCTCAAGGTTTTACAAGCAAAATATGACGAAGGATTAAACATAATATAGCGCATATAACAGCATCCAGTGGTACAATTAAAATGCTAGCTAGCTGCCATCAACAAATTGAGAATGCAGCACAAAACTACTACTAATCTAACAATAAACCTTTTCTCACTGACCCAAATTCATCAATCTTAGTAAAGAAGACGTGCTAATTGGCAGCTTGTGGTAGAGGTAGCATACTTGGTTCAGCAACTCGAAACATACCTGTCGCTAGTCTCCTCGACAGATCCTCCACAGATACTTTTATTACATCCCTCCTCATGCCAATGTCAGCAGAATAGCGACTGGCGCAATAAGCTCCGATTGCTGTTGCTGCCATCCCATAAACATTACTGGTGACAAAACAAAGTGGTGTAGACAAGATAGCCGCAAGGGGGCCACCTACGATAGATACAGCCTGTCCACTTCGCCCCAACGTATTTTGATCCAATACAAGCAATCCCGTCTTGCAGTAAATAGCGAAATCTTCGCAGTTATTCTTAAATATGTTATAGCACCCGAACCCATTGTCGAGCAGGTACTTTGCTCTATGAATAACATCATCATAAGGATCCGAGACTGCAAGAGTACAAGTTCCTCCACGTGCTTTTGCAAGGAATATAACAGGACTTACAGCATACTCGAAGCAATACAGAATGCCACCAGCAAGGAAGCAGTTCAAACATGATGATACCATTCCATGACATTCAGATTCTTCTGCTGGAACACAGGTGGGACAAGGTGCATGAGATCGATTTGGTCCAGAGCTTACTAAAAGGAAATCGAGCACGGTCCCTGTTCCTACTTCTTGGCCACGTCTCGTGAAATGTATAACTTTATCATCCCCAACATAGATCCCTGTTCTTACCAATACGAATAGATGTTTAAGTGAAGTAATTTGAAAAAAGATTTATCAGGATTCAGGATATCAGGAAACAAATTCAATGCTCCAAAATATCAATGATGTAATGTTCAACTGAGAAGGATTGGCAGTACAAGCTCTTGGTATTATTGAGAATTATAAACCTTAATTCTAACCGAGAGCAATCAATTTGAAGAAATAAAAATAAACAATCAAGAACATGCAAGATTTATAAAGATTCGTCTAAACTACATCTTCTCTCGCGCTACAGTAACTCACTATGATGAAAAAAGTTAACAAAAGAAAATCGCACCCATATCTTCTCTAATCTCTCTCTGTTTTATGATAATAATAAAGCCTAAGGACGGGTTTTCTATTTATAAGATAAATTAGGCCAGAACAGAATTGTATAAAGACTCCAATTCCTTAATAGAATTTTACAAAAATACGAATTCTTAAACGGTCATTAGATTAAGTCTTTGTCCAAATAGCCCAAACACTAACAGAAGGGAAGTATGAAATTTTATGGATGCAGAAATATGGTCGAGAATGGCTCAGCTGAATTGTATGATTTACACACAGATGAGTACCCAAACAAAGCCACCAAGTCCATAACTAAGAGGAAAAACTGAATCGTTATTATCTCTTACGAGGAAGTCATTCTCAATCTCTCCACTGGCACTTTCCTTGCAGGAGATACTTCTTCCAACAGGAAAACCAGGAAAACAAGGAAGTTTTCATTTAGAAATAAAAAATGAGTAGCTAAACAGACGCCTAAATCTTTTTTACACTAAGAAATAAGATATTTTGGGAGAGGAGAACAGTTTTTTGCTTGGACTATTCAGTTGTACAATTGATGCTGCATTTACTAATAGCAAGTAGCAAAACTCGCCAAGTTCTTTTCCTTTCTCCAAATATAGACACATGACAACTTAAAGATATATTTACATGGACACAGCACAATTTTTTCTGTATCTACATCGAACATCAAAGTACTAAAACTTAACAATGAAAGGCAAGGCAATTTTTGGTTATCTACACACAGATTACAGATATCAAGGCAGATGCACATGAAGCAATGGTGCAAAAGAGAAGGTAGCTTGGTCAATCAAAGGTTAAAAGGGGATGCCGTCGAACGGGAAAGGCACCGAGAGGTGGTGACCGTTCTCCAGTACCAAAAAGATATGTAAACTTTCCAACCAATCTCTCTGAATGCTCTGCTGACATAATAAATTCAAGCACTTGTCCAAGACTTATAACACTCCTCGTTCAATTTCCCAACTCTGTGGTAAACTTCATTTGATTAGCACCATCCCCAGCGCAATTAATGCTCCAAACTTCTTAGATTATCCATTTACTAAAAATCCCCGTTTTCGTCAAAATATAAAAATTTAAACACTGATCTGAAGGAAGTAATATTCGAAGAAATAGAGACTTGAAAACATCAAAGAAAACCTACAAACAATTATCATTTAAGTTTTGCGAACAATTTAAATATTATAGCAAAGCTCAGAACAAAATCGTGTTACTCCCAATTTTGCATTCAGATCTAATTAAACAACCAGATAGTTGTATTTCATGTAATTACAACAAAGTACTGCGATAAAAATTAAAAAAAAAAAAAAAAACACTAACCATGATGGGCATAAATATAAGCGGCACGCCAGGAATAGATGTGATCGCCCGGTTTGAGGCTGCTCCTTTCAACTCTGCTTGTAACCAACAAAAGCAACAATTTTACACGGATTAATATTAATGAAAGCCAAAAAAAAAAAAAAAAATGTTTAATTGCAATTTTAGTACCTGTTTGAGAGAAGCCCCATTTTCTGTGTTGATTTTGTTTCTGCTAAGTAAGGATAAAAAGTAGCAGTAGTGGAAATTTATGATAATACAACTCCTTTGCAGCCTCTAAATGCAATTTAAGGATTTGAATGAAGTATTGGAAATCACAAAAGCTGAGTTATTTTGTAAATGTTGTTTCTTCGTCGTTAAGGAAACTAATGGAGATAGGGGTGGGGGGTGTCGGTGGCGGTGGCCTTTGTTTGCACGTGAGATGACGTCTGCATGACAAATTTGTTAAGGATCAAGTTGGTGTGAGAATTCAATCATGCTACATTGTGATATTCTTTGACATGCCACGTAGTATCGTATTATTGGATTGTTTTAAGGGAAAATTGCAGCTGATATATCAAACCTTTCAGGTATTTACGAATTTTGTCCAAATCTTTAATTCGTACCACTTACGGTACCAAACCGTTAAAAAAATCGCACATCCGGTCCTCATTGGCGGTTTCTGTCCGTTTGACCACGAAAATTGTTAGTTGACCCTAGAAATCAAAAAACTAGAAGGGGTAAAATGGTAACTTGACAATTTTCTCATTAAATAAATAAAAAAACAAAAATTTACAATCAGTTTCTCCTTCCCATCATCAACAGTGCTGGCACGTTGCGGCACCACCACCGGCACATTGCCAACACCACCACCACCGCCTCCTCCCACTATCACCGCCACTACCACTGTCGTTGCCTCCTACCACCACCACCACCACCGTAAATTAAATTAAAAAAGCAACAAAATAAAAATAAATATACAAAAATCATTCTTCCTCCCACTCTACTCATTCATTGGCAGAATTCCTCAGAACCCAAGCATTATAAATTGGAGCCACAAAGACCCGTTGAACTGTCCCAACCTCAATTGTAGCAATTAAATGGTTACCCATGGTCGTACAAGTTTGCTCGAGGTTCGCTTGACTCCAATGTGATTCAATTTTCCATTATCTTCTGATTTTTTTTCAATTGAGTGTGAAGTTTGAAAATGGGTAGTTATCAGCATTGGTGATTGTGGTGGTGGCCGTGATTTAGGTTCCATTTTTGGGTGTGAAATGTGATTTTCTTCATTTGTGATTTACGGTGGTGGTAGTGGGAGGAGGATGAGGCGGTGGTGGTGGTGTCGCGGCACTATTGATGCTAAGAAGGAGAAATTGATTGCAAGTTTTTGTTTTTTTTTTAAAATTTATTTATGAGAAAATTGTCAAGCTACCATTTTACCCCTCCTAATTTTTGATTTCTGAGGTTAACTAACGATTTTCGTGGTCAAACGAACGAAAAATGTCAATGAGGACTGGAGGTGCGATTTTTTAAAGGTTTGGTACCGTGTATGGTACAAATTAAAGATTTGGGCAAAATCTGCAAATAACTGAAAGGTTTGGTACATCGGCTGCAATTTTCCCTTGGTTTAAACACATTCAACTTTCCTATCAAATCATCTTCTGCCACTTCAAATTATGTCAAAGCAATCGTTAAAGTTTTCTGACAAAAAACCAAAACTTGTAAGAATTTAAATGATAGTATCACTAACACCCTGTTTGAGCCTCCATTTCTTTGTTGAGAATGTATTTAGAATAGTAGATTGATGTAGCATTGTGGTTAAAAAATAAGGAAAATTTTTGAATTTACATGTAATATTATTTTATTGAAAAATGTGTAGTAGAAAAAAAAGAGAGAAAAATGTATTTTGCTAAAAATAGAAATCAAACAAAGGCTTCATTTAGCCTTTGGTCCTATAATTTCTCATTAAATGATAATTTATTTTTCTCTCTCCTCTTATCAATCACAAATTCTTCAATAAAATAATATTATACGTAAATTCAAATTTCTTTTTTTAACCATACAATCTCCAAAAATTACTATTCATTTCATTATAATGGAGGTCAAACATGCGCTTAATATCTTAAAAGAATAATGCTATTTGCAGTCACTTATTACAGTAGTCGTCTTATGTTGTATATATGTAGTGGTTAATAATTTAATGTATGAGTAAATAAAAAACTACCAAATTAATGTATCAAATCACTAACCGTCACACGTATGTTACGTAGAACGACTACAATAGTGAGCGATTACAAATATTATTCTCATCAAAGAGGCACTTAATTTATAATGCCCTTGTTTGATTTGACTAAAAATTAGATTTTTAATAAATTTTAATAAAAGCCGATGAAACGTGTGGTTAAAAAGTTGATAAAAGTTGTGGATTCTATTGATTAAAAGTGAATATAGGAAAAAATAAGTTTTAAAAAATTGGGGCCAAAAATAAGCAATGATTGCATTTAATAGGTCACCAGTTTCAATCATACATCTAAGATTATCCAAGTCATATTTATTGAAAAAAAAAAAACAAACTGATCAAACAAGAACATAGTTGGAATTTATAAAAAAATTATTCTTTACATTTAAATATGCTCACATTATTTATAAATAGAAAGTCTCTTGAAAGATTAGAGTAAGTATCAAACTGAAAGATAGTTTTCGAGTATGAATACGTGCTAATGTTAAAAAACTCCTTTCTACAATGCATCTCTTCCTTCCCGTTCTAACTCCGTTTTCACGAGGAATTAACCGTCGTGGGGAGAAAAATTCAGCAACATATTCAGCAAGACTCCTTATGATCAATGCGGCCAAAGAATTAGAAATGAAAAAACACTTAGTCGTAAATTAACAGACATTTTTGTAGGTTGTTTCAAATTTATTTTTCTTGTTCCTGAACATGTTCTTCAAAAAAACATGTAAATACCAGTATATAACTTAGTAGTTCTATGTTTGCTGTAGTACCATCAAGAGAAAGTCAAGCTCGAAGTGCTCTATTGCCCAGCTGTAAGCACACTGTCTTAGAGCTGATTGACCTCGCCTTTAGGCTTTTGCATGAAGACAATTTCTAGACGTGTCCAACACCACGTACCAAATATATAGGAATCAAAGCCATCGGATTGGAACTTAATATCGATATGTAAATGTAGTAAAAGAAGGGGGGATGTTTTCAATCACACCTCACTCAATTTTGAAGGGGGGATGTTTTCAATCACACCTCACTCAATTTTGAATCTGAACACTTTGTTCCATAGGCTTTATTAATGTCTTCCGCCCCCAAAATGTGAAATTTCTTATGTGTAGCTGCTGACAGAAACCAAGAGTTCAAGTTAATTGTGAGTTTTTGAAGAGGAAATACCTGCAAATGGCCGAAAGAAAAGGCCATATTTCATATCTGGCCTTTGACCGGTAAATATGTTTAAAAAAAAAAAAACTTAACAGTATAACTTTAGACAAGTTAAAGTAAAAAATAGAGGAAATTACACCTACACCTGTTTTTAGATATCCATTT